CGGCACCCCGAGCACGGGGCGGACTCCCTCCTGGCGACGCCCGTGCGCTCGGCGCCCGTGGCCGGCCCCGGGAGCAGCGGCGTCCTCGCTGCGAGGCCGGTGCCGGCGAGCGCGTCCCGCTGTCCCGTCCCGGCCGGCTCCGAGGCGAGGGCGCCAAAGCCGCGCAGCGCCAGAGGCGGAAGGCGCGCCGGAGCGCGGCGGGCCGGGCGGCGCTCGGCCCCTCCGGGGCGCTGCCTCGTGGCGCAGCCGCCTCTCGCCCTGCCCGAGCCGCGCCCGTGCCGCCAGCCCAGGGAGCCGCTGGCGGGCCACTGTGGCGGGGAAGCGGGTGGCGATGTCGGGGCAGAGAGGGCAAAGCGCCCGGGGAGGCGCTCCGGGAAGGGCCGACTGGGCGGGCGCTGCCCGGTGGATCTCGTCCTTCCCGCAGCGCTGCGTCGAGCGCGCTGCGGTTGCTCTCCTTGGGGAGCGCCTGGGCGGAGAGCCGACCTGAAGCAGGGTCCCCAGCTGGCCGGGGGGCCGCTCCTCCTCACCTCCCCCTTCCCCGGCGGGAGCGCTGCTGCCTCCACCGGCCACGGGAGAGCCGGGAAGAACGGGCGAAAGGCAGAGGTGTCTGCGGGAAGTGACCGGGGTGCTTTCGAGGTGGCTCTGAGTGCCGCGCGGAGGACTTGCCCCTGGCCGCCTCCACCGTCCAGTGGGCCGCAGGAGGGAGCCCGGGCAGCCCTCCCGCGCCCCTGGCTTGGAGTGCGTGGGACTGGACGGCACGCGCGTCCTTTCCCGCCGCAGCTGCAGAGCGCCCTTCCCCGGCCCTGCCGGTGCCGGTGCCGGAGCCCAAGCGCTCGGGGGGCTGCAGGCCCCCTTTCCGCCGCTCCCAGGCGAGCCGCCCGCCCGCCCGCAAGCGCCGCCTCTCGCCGGGTGGGGCCGGGGGCGGCGCTGTGTGCGGCGTCCTCCGCGCGAACAGGTCGCGTGGCAGCGCCGGGAGGGCCTCCCTTCCGGGGGCGGCGGCGCCCCTTCCCCCGCACTCGGGGCGCCCTCCAGCCGCCCCTCCGCCCGCTGCCGTGGCCGTCCGCCCCTTCTTGGCCTGCGTCGAGGCCGGCACTTCGCGACGGGCCTGGAGCCGCTGCCTGCCGCGCTCCTCCAGGCACCGCGCCGAGGGACAGCCCGCCCGCGCCGTGAGCCCAGCGCCGCCGGGGTTCCCCGCTTGCCCTGCTGCCAGGGAGGGGCGAGGCTCGGCGCCGCGCCTCGGCTGCCTTCCAGAAATGCAGACAGGCTGCGCGAGCCCCTTCCCAAGGCTTGGCGGCCCCCCCCAGGGTGGCTCACATGGCCGGACACCTCCCGAGCCAGGTGGGCCGCCTGTTCCACCTGCCCTGCCCCGCAGGAGAGCTGGGGGCAGGGCAGGTCCCCTGGCTGCCTGCCCCCCTCCTCGCCGTCCCTTCGGCTTCTGGGGGCAGCCCAGCAAGGTCAGAAACACCTGCCCGGTTGGCAGCGTGGGGTCGGCATCACAGGGCCTGCTGTGGACGGAGCTTTGGAAGTGAGGCGCAGCCGCCTGTGCTGCTTGGGTCGCACTGCCCCCTCGCTGGGTGGGGCCAAGCAAATTCGAAGAAATGGCCCGGGAGCAGCAGCCCCCGGGCGAGCCACGGAAGGAGGGGCTGGAGCCGTGCGTGGCAGGCGCAGTGTCCGCCTGCTGCACTCGCTGGACCAGCTGTCCCAGCCACAGAGCCCGTGGCGGCCCCTTGCCCTTCCCAGAGGGTGGAGGGTGGGGCTGGCGACGCGCAGGCCTTGCTGGCGGCTGTGGGCTGCCGTTTCTGGGCAGGAGCAGCCGCAATTAGGGCAGGCCTGCTCTTTCTCCTGCCTGTGTGTGAAAAGGAGCAGGACAGGGGGAGCCTCGAGACAGCAGGCTGGGCTCCCCTGCCGTCTTCCCACTCCAGTTCTGTGCGTGGCTGCCCTCTTGGAAAATGGCCCACCCCAGAGCTGCCCCACTGGCATCTGGCTGCACCTGAAGTGCCGAGTCTGCTGCGGAGCTTCGCTGCGACAGGGAGGCTTCCCTTCACGGCCGCCTGGGTGAACCTGCGAAGGGGTGATCTTGCGAGCAGCTGTGCCAAGTGCTCTGCCTGGCCTGACAGGCCCACAAGCACCATTCCGGTGCTTGGAAGGCTGTAGCATCACTCCCGATGTCTGTCCACGTGTTCAGCACGGGCTGTCCGAGCACTCGGGGCAACCTCAAGGTGCTCCCGGGCCAGGGAAGGGCCCCCTGTGCTGTTCCCAGCCCCTGGGTGCCCCAGCTCCTCAGCCAAATTCTTGCATGCCAGGTGGGTGCTGGTGCCCCTCTGCCCCCCCGCCCCATGCATAAACAAAAAGGAGCCCAAACAAAGAGCAAACTCTCTAAGCCGGGTCCAGCCTTTGGCGGTGGGGCCACACGGAGCAGTCTGAGTACTGTGCTGGACATGCCCGCGAATGGGGGAGGGGCCGCCTCTAGCGTGCCAGACATGCGCCCCCTCTCCGTGTGAATGCGTGCGTGTGGCCTTTGCTGCGTGCTGCTCCCTCTGGCCTCTCTCACACACGTGCGTGCACACACACAGTGGCACTTCCGGCCGTCCGGCCGGCCGGATTTCTGTGGATCGTCTCGCTCTCCTCCCGCCGCCCTCAGTGAGCGGTGCCCTTGCTGACGGCGGCTCTCCGGGCTCTTGTGGCCCGGGCTGCTCCAGCGGATGCGAGACCTGCCCAGGCGCGGCCAAGGGGGCCGGTGCCACCTCCCTAAGTGGCTGCCAGCCCCGGCTCTCCCGCAGCCCCTGCCTGGGCTCGTGCTCGGGGACCCCGGCTGGCGCTTGGGAGCAGTCGCGTCCTGGCAGGAGGAGGGTGCCTCTCGCACCCAGGTGGGAGAGGGAGCGGAGCCTGCCCTGGGCCACACGTCTCTCGCCTTCGCGCCCTGCAGAGGGCCGGCGGCTGCTGGGATGGGAGCCTGCATCTCACGCCCCCGACCTCACTTGACCGCAGGGCTGGGGCCTGCCATGCAGAGAACGGTGGGGCCGACGCGACAGCAGCTTTGTCCTTTCGTTCTCCACAGATACGCCATGGCGCTCTCCAACAACCACATATGTCCAGTCCACAACTGGTAAGCTTGTCTTTTCCCTTGGCTCTGCCCCGTGTGTTGCTGCTGATCCTCGAAGGTGCTTGCGCTGGTGCCGGGGAGTGTCCAGCCCAGTGTGCGTGTGCCCTGGTGTCGGGGGCCGCGTGCTTCCCAGTCTGTTCCGGCCACTTCCCCAAGGGTGTCGCTGCTGCCACCACTGCACGCCACGTGGGGGCTGCGATGCCTGCTGGCCCGGCCCGGCCCGGCCCGCCCGCCCCTGAGCAGCCCAGCCTTCCTTGCTTCCACCCAGAGAAGCATCGTCAGGCATCGCCCCCAGGCTGCCTCTGGGCAGTCGTGTCCTGGTGCGTGATTTGCAACAGGCATGCCAAGGCCCGGTGGCCTGGATGCTTCCGGGACTTGTTGCTGTTTCCCGAAGGTGCTTTTCCACTCGGCTCTGCGAATATCACGTGTCACTGTCATTATTTTTACTGCCACCCAAAGGATGGCCCTGCGGAGCCTCCCCTGCTCACCATTCCAGCTGTTCGATTCTCTGGGGAATGGGAGTTGCTGCAGGGAAGGGGGGGGTCCATGTGCCTGTGGTTGGGTCCCCCCCCGGCCTCTGCATGGTTCGTGCCTCGGTTTTCTCCTTCTTTGGTGTGGGCTGCCGAGGCCCCTGCCGCCCCCCCGCCCCTCCCGCGACCCCGTGGGGCTGCCTCTGCCTTGCCAGCAGAAGAGCCGGCATTGGAAGTTGCTTTCTGAGTGGCCCAGTCTGGTCATATTGTTCAAAATTGCCATGAAGAAACCCGAGTTGCCCCAGTGTGCAGACATTGCATGGAAGGGCACAAGGCACACGCCGGCATGTTCCGCGCATCCTGTCGGCTGTGCAGACTGCGTGGGAAGGCGGGGGGGGCGGGCTGGGAGGGCCTGCCTCCGGGTGGGATCGGGGAGGCCTGCGCTGCGGCGGCTGCGCCTTGTGAGCCAGGGCAGGCGGGGGTCCCGGGCCGCTTCCCCAGGCGGCAGCCCCTGGGTGGCTCTGCAGAGAGGCTGCACTGGGGAAGGGGGAGCCGCCAGAGGCAGGGGCGTCCACGGGCGGGGAGGGCTGCTGCCCCCTGCCTGGCAGCCCCGGCTCCCCTCGCGCGCGCCTTGCCTGAGCGCATCTCCTGCCCTGCTCCTGCCTTGTTTGGCACCGGCGATAGCAGCATTCTGGAACCCCTGAGCTGCCTTCTGGCCTCCCTCCCTCCCTCCCTCAGTGCTCCGTGTCTGTTTGTATAAACAATGGAGAAACAACGAAGAAAATAAAAGCAGGCATTGGAAGGAAAGGTCACGGTGATACTACGCATAAAGCACTTTCCCGTGGCACAGTAGAAATGCTGAGTGACAGAGAACTACAGCAGAGTTACATTTCGCCCTCTCTGAAGGCTTATTCACCCTACTGCCCTGCGCCAAAAAGCCCGGACGTTTCCGTTAGGATGCCTGCCTTAATTTCTACCCCACCCAAGAAGTAGAAGTGTCCCCAGCCTGAGTGCAGGCGCCTCTTGAAACGGGAGGATTTGTGGTCGATGCACAGAGAGCACGGGAACACGCAGACCGAAAAGGCTCCACATGCACTTTTGGGGATGCCGGCTGCACTGTGACAAAATGTTGCATTCCCAACAGTGTGGACTGGACGCGACTGGCTCGCCTGCTCTTTCGTTGCTTGTGTGCACGCCCGTATATGAGGCTTGTAAAACCCATTCCAGAAATGGTCTCCGGGCATTGTTACTGTGTGGCCAGGATGTTGCGTTTGCTCAGCAGTGGCGCCTTCTCTGGGAAAATGCCATTTTCCTCTCATGGCGACGGGGCGACCGGCTCTATGCCAGGCATGGCAAGGAGGCCCGCTCTTCTGCACTGCTCCCCGGAGACACTCCGTTTAGCTGCTCTGGCTCTGAGCATGGCCAGTGCCGGACGGGCACATCCGGACGCATCTCAGTGCCAGGAGTTACGGGGCATCGGTGCCCGCCCCACCCCAGAGCAGCTGCCGGCGAGCAGCGGCCTTCCTCCGCCACGGCTCCTGCCGATTCTGGCTGCGGGAGCTGCTGTGCAACGTGTCTGGAGGGAGTCTGGCTGGGGAAGGCTGCTGGACAGGAAGTGAGGTGGGGAGCTGGCTGCTTTGGCCCGTGGGAGCTGCTTTGCATCACAGGCATTTCAGCCCAGCGAAAGGCTGCATTTGGCTGCTTGTGCTTTTCCAGCTGGGAGAAGTTTACTTCAAACACAGAGACACACCACTTTCTGTAAAAGACTCAGTTCTGTCTTGAAAGGAAAGAGCTCGTCCTGTTTTCCCAATTGCTTCTGCAGCATCGACAGAAGAGCGGCGACACGGAGACCTGGGTGGGGAGGGTGGCCGGGTGCCTTCAAAGAGTTCCCGAATGTAAACAGAGCAGGGCTGGCCGAGGAGCTGCGAGGCCGCGGTGGGGGGCCGCTGGCCGAGGTTTTTGTGGGGGGCAGCATTGCGTGCTTGCCATTTTTAGCTTACACGTCTCAGCTACTTCGCACTGAACCATTTCCAGCAGTGCCGATCTCTTCCTGCAGTTCTGGAAATTAGACTCTTTCTAATTTATGCTTCGCCCATTGCTTTTAATTCGTGTCTGTCTGAGCCTCACTGGCTGGCTGGAGTTGCGCACTGAGAGCCGGGGGGCCAGGAACGCCTGCGCTGTGCCCCCTGCGTGCTCCGGCGGTGCAGGACACTGCGCTTGGCTGCTCTTCCTGGGGCTGCAGAACCGTGTCCAGAGCCGAGAGAGGAGTCCAGGCCCAGGACTGGGTGCCGGGAGCACAGGGAGCACAGCATCGTAAGCGTCAGGGAACGCTGAAGAGCTTTGGCTCTGGGAGGGATAGAAGCAAGCGGGCAACAGTCCAGGCAGGGGCTCCTGGAGTGGACGTGGGGAGGATGTGGTGGGGCGCCTCTCCCTCTGTAGCAAGGGAACGGTGGAAGGACCCAGCAGAGGACGGGGGGCCGAGAGGGTGGGGGGGGGGCACCTGGGCCCCTGAGCACTTCTGTGAAGAAGGCAGCAGGACTGCCGGCGGCGGGGAGCCTCGCCCAGGGCCAGGCAGGCCTGGGAGCAGGGGGGGCACCCGGAGGCTGTGAGTGGTGCACAGGAGCGAGGTCGTGCACCCGGGTCGTTACGAGCCGGTGAGGCAGCCTTGTCTGCAGTCCCCGTTAACGGCTTCCCCCTGCCACGTTCCGTGGATCCTGTAGTTGCTGCCTTTTGCTTTTATCTGGTTGTTGCTTGTTACGACCACCCCCCATTGCAGGCACTTTGAGCACCCATCAGGAAGGCGGGGTGAGCATGTCTCCAGCCAGCCAGCCAGCCAGCAGACTTCCTTGCATCCTGGGGAGGCCTCCGCAGAGCCGGTCCGTGACTCAGGTCATTGGTCTGCTGCTGTTGCCTGCTGCTGTTCTGCCATTGCAGCTGATTGCAGAGCTGGAAGCAGTCGCTGCCCACTGCTTGCTGCACAGGTCTGGGCACGTGTTTGGTCGGGAACAAAAAACTGAGCTTCGCAGGATGCGCCGAGTCCCGCCCTCCTGCGGCACTGACACGGTGCGGCGGCGTGGCTTGCCTCGCCCCTGCCCCAGCGCTGGGGACGCCGCTCCTGGCCCCCTTGGACGGAGTCTGCACAGCCGCGCGTGAGGGGAATCAGTCGGTGCGCAGCACTCCAGAACTGGCACCGACGGGCAATTGCGCTCCTTTTCTAGCCAGCCTGTTCTTCCTCGATGCTCAGAATGTGGCCGTATCTGCCCTTCGCAGAAAGCATGGGCTATTTCAGCAATTTCCTGAACTGAACCACACGGACTCGTCTGTTACTGCCTACTGACCAGCAGGTTTTCAAACGGTGCGTTTTGTGTAGCGAGACCAACGCTGCATGTAACACGTTCCGTTTTCCTCCACGGCAGGATTTATAACCAGTCCTGTGAGCCGGAGAGCCCTGCCCCCTGCTGCACGCCGGACCACATTCCCCTGGTCAGGTGAGGAGGCTGCCCTGGCATTGGCCCGGCGGGCGACGTCTCTGGCTGGCTGTGCTTGCTGGTCCCGGCAGTGTCCCAGTTGCGCTGTCTTCGCTGGTGCAGAGCGGAGTCCTGCAGTGGATTTCCAGGCCAGCTCCATGTTCCCTCCTGTTCAGGGAAGGGGGGATGCTGCTGGGGAGAGGGCCAGTCAAGGTGCCCGTGCCTGCATTCGTGCGACTGGAATCAAGGCTCAGCGTTACACTGAGCAGGGCCATTCAGAGGAGCGTGGCTGCTCATTCCCCCCCCCCCCCCCCCGCCCCTTCCCCAAGCCCAGCCTGTTGGGGCTTTGGATGCCCTGAGCTCCCGAGCCTCTCGGTTGAGGACAGACCCCGAGCACCGGATCCCAGGGCCGAGGCAGCCGCTGGAGCCAGCATGCCGGGACGGCCTTTAAGAAGGGACATGAGATGGCCGCCCCCTTTCCCGTTTTGCAGATGAGCCAAGTCTCCGCACGGGTTGGGTAAGGGCGGCGTTTGAGGGCCGCGTGCCCACGATCTGCCGCCCGAGCAGCAGCAGCAGCAGAGTGCTACCTGCAGGCGGTTTGGGAAGGCGGTCCAGAAGCGTGGCGTGTGCGTGCGCATGCGCGTGCTTTCCCCTGACCTCTCCCTTGGCCTTCCCTGCAGCAAGTGTGGCACCTTCCCGCCCGAGAGCTGCTTCTTCAGCCTGATCTGCAGCCTGGGCGCCTTCATGGGTGAGTCCTTGTGTTTGCTGCTTGGGCATGGCAGGCCGGGAGGGCCCCTGCGGCCCCTGCAGGGTCCCGGGGAGGCTGTGAGGGGGCTGATGGGGGCACCCACCACATGCGACGTGCCTGGCTGTCTGCTGGGGCCACACGCAGGCCAGTGTCTGAAACGGTCCATGTGCTCGCTGAGCGGATGGCAGCCCGGCCCTCGCTGCTGTGCCCCAGGCACCGGGGCTGCCCGCCTGTCCGCAGACACCCGCCCCGGACCGGTTCCACCCCTGAAACCAGGCCTTGCCACCATGAGGCCAGATGCAGGCTCTCTGGGCACGGGGCACCAGACCGTGCTGGCCGCACGGTGTCGCAGGTGGCCTGTGCCAGCACTCGGGCGCTGGGCCAGCTTGGCTGCAGCAGACCAACCGCAACCGGCTGCCCGCCGGAGCCACCTCCCCACACCCGGCCCAGCCCCCCGAGGCCGGCAGTGTTGCGCCCCGTGGCCCGGGGGCCAGAGCCCCCGCGTGGGCGCTGGCACGCCTCCCCCCCTCAAGCGCTGGGGTGGTGGGAAGGCGGGCTGGGGCTGGCCTGCTGCTGGAGGGCTGGGCCGCCTGGCCCGCGCCGACCCTGCCCGCCTGCCTCTCGCAGTGATGCTGCTCGGCCTGCTGCGGTACGCGCACGTCATCGAGCGCGGCGGCGCCTCCCTGCTCAACACCGCGGGGCTGGCCACAGGGTGGATCTGCGCCGCGGGGCTCATTGTCGTCGGCAGCTTCCAGGTAAGGCGCCTGCTCTGGGTGGACTGGGCCCGAAGGGCGGCACGGATGGCCGCGGGGTCAGCGGGGCCGGAGGGGAGCGGCAGCCCTCCGCTGCAGGACCGCACGCCTCCCTGGCCCGGTACAGCCGCCATGGCTGCCGCCCGGGCTCTCGTGGGCTGGGGCGCACTGGACCGGGCGAGGCAGAGGAGGGTGCCTGGGCAGGCCGCTGTTCTTCTGGCCTTCTGCTCCCCCCTGCACCGTACACGATCGCGTGGCGCCTGTCGCGTTTCGTGCTAAAAGCGGTGCGGAGGAACACTCTGCACGTGCGCAGAAGTGCAGCGGGTGCCGCGCCCAGCACGCCCCGCAGGGCGCATGGCTGCCTGAGGCCCGTGGGCAGGCGCCGCTCGCACGGGTTCCCGCCCCGGTCCTCGGTTGATGGCGCTGCCGCTCACCCGGCCAGGTGGACCACGCCAAAGCGCTGCACTACGCCGGGGCCGGGGCGGCCTTCCCCACCAGCATGCTGTTCCTGCTCCTCCAGTCCGTCCTGACGTACCGCATGGCCAAGTCCAGGGGGCACTACTGGACCGGCCACCTGCGCAGCATCCTGGCCGCCCTGGCGCTCGTCGCGCTCGTCTTCAGTATCCTTCGCAGCAGCACGGCCTGGGCAGGGCCCTGCGGGGGGGCGGGGGGGCGGGCTGCCCAGGGCGCTGCCCCGCGAGGCGGTGCCACTCAGTGGCGGCCTCGCTTGGGAACCCGTGCAGGGAGTTCGGTGGGGTTTGCCTTTCCCGTGCAGGAGATTGGGCGGCGTGTGTGCTACGTAAATAGTTCGCCGGCAGAGGATATTTGGATAGCTTGGAGCAAACCGTCTGGAGTTGCTCTTCATCTTGTCTGCCGAGAAGCAGAGTGAATCAGAGACGCGGGAGGCTCGTTCGCACAGCTCTGACTTGAGCCCCCTGGGGGGGCACCCGCTGCCTCCCTTGGGCAGCTGAGCAGAAGTGGCCAGGCACCCCGCGAGGGCTGCGCCTGAGTTCAGGCATCTGAGCCGAGGCAAGCGTGCCGAGGAGGGACCTGGTGAGGACTGGCACCCTTCTGGGCTCCAAAGCACGCCCGTGTCCACGGAGCGCTTCTCCCTGGAATTCCCCTCCCACACCATCCGCAGAGTAGAGGCTGCAGTCTGGGGAGAGACGGGCACGTGGAGGGGCCTTGGCTCATTTCCCAGGGGAAGGTCTGCATCCCGGCTGCTTTTCCCTCCCCCGGGGGAAGCCACGGGTGGGGACACACTGAGAGCCCCCTGCGCATGTGGGAGTTCAGAAACTCTTTACGCCTCTTCTTCCTCTTCAGCCCAAGCAGCTGTGTTTTGTCAGAATGAAAGCCATATCTAAAAAGAACAATGTGCCTGCGAGGCAAGGCAGAGGCGGGGGGGGGGGCGGGAGCGCGGTGCCTTCTTGTTCGCAAGGAGCTTGTTTTCCCCAAGCGTTTCCAAAACGACCTCCTTGTGAGCAATCCGTGCGCCCGCCCAGCGAGTGCAGAACCTGTGGGGCAGGCTGGTTAAAAGGGCATGGTGGGCCGGATGCGGCCCGCGGGCCTTAGTTGGAGGACCCATGGTGTAAGGAAAGGTCAGGGAGTCCAGATCTATTCACCTTGACTGAAAGTTGTCAAGGATATTCAGGGTGAAGCAGAACCCCAGTAAGAATGTACAAGCAAAACAAGTTTCTGAAAATATTTGCCCGTAATAAACAAAAGAACATTTAAATATAAACTGTTTGAAGTACTAGGTTTATGTAACGGGTGTTTACCCAGCCCATTGACTTAACTCTATAAATGCCAACCCATTGTGGCCCTGGAGACCTCATTAATCAGCCCCCTTAAGTTTAACTTAACCATTTATGACACGTCTCTTGGGACCAGTATTCCCAGATAGGGAACAGACTCAGCACAGACTAAATTGCCAATTTAACATACTATGGGATGTATCATCACCAATAGACATGAGCTTTGACTTTGACCAGTTAATAAAATAACCAGATGAATGTGAATGTCCAGTCGTTAGTCATCAGCATCAGAGCTATGAGAGATGAACAGAGTTCTGAAACAAACCTTAGAAGATCATCAGCACAGAGAATAAGCTTAAGTTCTAACACATGATGCACAAACCGATGGGTGCTGGAGTTTTGTAGACTGCCACTCGCCGGGGGTTTTAAACAAGCGGGCCTGCTCTCCCCTTTCGCTTCCTCTCTCTTGGTGGTGATGACCACTTTGCATCACACTTAAAAAAAAAAAAAAGGCCCTATGGCAGTTTGTTTGTAAGTAGGGGTTGTTCGTAACTCAGACATTCGTAACTCAGGGACTGCACATATTAGAAAGTAAAGTGGAAACTGCTCTGAAAATACTTGGAAGGAACAAAGCACTTGGAGTAGACAGAATTTCACCAGAACTATTCCAGGCCACAAAGACTGAATCGGTCTAAATACGCCAACAAAAATGAAGACCAAAATAAGGGCACACAGACTGGAAGTGTTCGATCTACATTCAGATCCCCAACAAAGGAGATGCAAAAGAGTGTGGTAACGTCAGGGGCATTTCACTAATTTCCTGTGCAAGCAAAGTGATGCCCTGGGCGCACCAGGGTGTCATAAGAATATGACCTCTGTGGAGCAAGAAGTGCCTGATATTCTAGGCTATGGATGGCTCTAAAGAAACCAGCGCTTGATCGTCCCGAGGCACAGCCTGTGCCATAGGCAAGGACCTCCTCTGGACAGAATATGGAGATGGAACGCGGGGGATGGGACGGTGTTCCTGTGCAAGGGCATCAGCTGGGGTATCTTTATTTCCCTTTCTGTTTAATCAATAACGCAGAACACATCAGAGGGAAAGCTGGGTGGGAATGAAAACTGGCAGAAGCAGGAGCAGTAATACAGGATGTGGATGATGCCCTCCTGCTGGCCGGAAGCAGCAACGCATTGAAAGGCGCCCTGATGAAAGTGAAAGAAGGAAGTGCAAAAGCAGGACTGCGGCGGAACGTGGAGAAAGTGCACGAGTTTACTTTCAGTGATGAGAAACCGAAATTTTTAAATGTTTTGCATATGACGACTTTGGCGCCAATGCAAAGAGAGACTGCAGCCAAGAATCGAGAAGGAAAGCGAAACTTGGAAGGGCAGCAGTGAAGGACCTAGAAAAGGTCATTACGTTCAAGGACATTTTAGTGGAGACCAAGCCAAGACCATCCAGACTATTGTATCCTCAGTCACACTGTATGAGTGCGAAAGCTGATAGGCCAAAGATGGATGTTTGAAGCATGGTGCTTTGCAAATACCCTGAACCAGCAGAAAAATGATCGACGTGAAATCCAGCCAGAATCACCTTGAAAGCAAAAATGAAAAACTGTCATCATTTGAACAAATCCTGAGAAAGAACCAGTCCTTGGAGAAAATAATAATGCCAGGGAAAGTCAAAGCAGAAGAAAAGGAAGACCAAACATTGGATGGGGGGACTCCATAAAGGAAGCCACAGTCTTGGGATGACAGGGCTGAGCAGGGCTCTGAAGGCAGGATGTGCTGGAAGGCCTCATTCATGGCCGCCATGAATTGGAGGCAACTGAATGGCCAGTAATGACAACGGCAACACCTCTGGTGAAGGCTGTGTGTTGGAGAGGTGGCAAAATTATCTACAAGAGTGTTCCACCTTTTTATTTTTATGAGATGTATAAGCTAAAGTTCAGCCCCAGATGAAGGCTTTTCGGGCTTTTCTGGCAAGTGCTGTCATGGTGGCCGGGGTGAGGGATGTGCGGCCAGCTCTGGGCTAGCAAGCCTGAGGAACTGGCGCTTGGGAGTGGGCTGCTTGGCCTGCTGAGTGAAGCCCCGGGCCTGTTTGCAGGGTTGCGATGGTGCGTGAGGGGGTTGGCTTTTGAACCAGAAGGGGGGATGAGCCGGGCTGGGGGGCCCCAAGAGCCCCGCTGCAGTGCTCGGGCGCGCTGGCAAAGCGCAGGGGCCTGGCGTGGCGGCTGCTGTCCAGGCAGACTCCGTGGTGGCTGGCACCCTGGTGCTCGTGCCCCGTGCCAGAGCGCCCCTGCCCTCGTGTGGGGCATGCCCGTGGCAGCAACGGCCGGGCACGGGAGGCCAGCGGAGGCTGGGGTGGGTCACCTCAGGACAGCCCTCCTTCCTGACCCGACGGCCGGGGCAGCGGTCAAAGGGGCACAGGGAGCGGGGGTGGTCCGGCTTGTGGCCCCGCTCTTCATCGCAGGACGGGGCCCTGGGCAGCGCGATGTGCTTGCCCCCCGCCCAGTGCCTGGCCTCCTGCCCCCCCCCCCCCGCACTTCCACCTTGTTTGCCTTGACTCTGGCACCCCCATGTGGCGCCTTCTTCAACCAGCACAGCACCGCGCTCCAGCACCTGGCCGCCCTCTGCGAGTGGCTGTTTATCACCAGCGTCCTCGTCTTCTATGGCACCTTCACCGCTGAGTTTGGAGCCATCTCCACAGACACCTTCCTGGTGCTGCTGCGAGCCCGGCGGACTTCGAAGAGCCCCGGGGCGGGGGTTCCCACTGCCGGCGCCCCCAGCCCCCTGGAGGGCCTGGCTGTCATGTGAGGGGCCGCCGGCAGCGGGTTCCTTGGGCACATGGGCTCTCGCACGCGGCAGTGGGGGCTCTCAGCCGCAGGAGAGATGTCGGGGCGCAAGGTTGAAGGTGCCCGAAACCGACTGGCCCTCATCCACATTTCGTGCCTTGGGGACGCTGACTGCAACCCGGCCTCCTGCGAGGAAATGCAGTGGTGTTTCGGCCCTGATTTCTTGGCTCTTGCATCAGACCCTCCCCATCCTTCAATTCCTCCGGAAGAGAGGATGAAAAATGGTGTGGGAAAAATATCGGAATGTGTCCTTTGCCGATAGCGAGGCTGGTTTGGCCGTGGGGTGGGGTGGGCAGCAGCGCCCGTGCTGAGATTCTTGGCCCTTCTGGCCGAATGCCAGGCACCAGGAAGGGGATTCCAGCCACGGGCCCTTTGCCATCTCAGGAGAACGGCCGGGTGTTCTTCCCGACTTTGGGATCTGCATTGTCTTCAGGCAATGCCTCTTGCCTCTGCAAGGAGGAGGAGGTCTCTTCCTCGGAGAGGAATCTCTTTTAAAAGTGCCCTTAATTTCCTTGGGACCAAAAGCATTGGCTGAGTTATCATTCCTTGACAGCTCACTCCAGTCCTGTTTACGTGGGCGTTGTATCCTCCTCTGAGTGCCTTCACAGCAGACCATAATTAACGTGCTGCTTGCCCCAGCAGAGCTGAGGCACGGCTGCTTCTCCAGGGAGCCTTATTTAACCGCAGATTCTTCCCCAGAACGTTCTCGGCTGCGGGCGAAGCACTTTAGTTCTAGAGCTCATTGCCGGAAGGATCCTCCGGAGCTCGGCCACGTGCTGACTCTGTGCCAGGCAGGAGGAGTCCTGGAAGCGAAAACCTCCTGTGTCCAGCAGCGCTTGGGGCCTCCAGGGGCCTCCAGAGGAGAGGGGACCAATCCCCTTCGCTTTCTGGACTTCCTCCACCACCTTTCCCACTGCAGGAGCTCAAGTCCTGCTTAGGAATTCAGGGCACCAACCGGTAGCTGAAGGCAGGAGGGCTGCTGGCCTGAGGAGGTGGAACGGTGCTCCCCAGACGGTCAGGAAAGCTCATCAGACGTGACCCTGGTCTCCGCCTCGCCCAGTGCCTTGGATGCTCTTAGCAGCATTCTGTGCAGGAATTCTCTGTTTCTGGGATCTGCATTTTCCCTCCCATGGTGCCAATTTCTCTGCCTGCCTTGATTATTCCAGCAGAGTTCCTCAGGTATAACGCTTTATGTGACTCTTCCCTGCATACATTCTAAAGATGTGCGTGTTGAAGGTAGTGACATTCCCAAAGAGATGTGCCTTAATATAATCTACATGTGACTCAGTTGGGCAGTGCACACACATTCCGCGAAGTGGCTCGCAGCCTGCCCGGGTGGGTCCCACGCTTGCGGGGCAGCTCTTCGCTGCCGGGGAGGGAAGCTGCCGTGGTGGGCCCCCCAGCCGCACCCCCTGGCTTTCTCCAGTGGCCCAAAAAGGCTGCGCAGGGTGGGGAGGCCTCCATCCTCGGCGTGCGGCTGTGAGGTCGAGGGCTGCAGCACGTGCTCGATGCTTCCTTGCTCTCCTCTGTAGGCATGCAAGCTTTGATTCTGTGAAGCATCACCAGTCGATGCTCCTTTATGGTAAGACCAAAGTGGGCGAACTTGACCAAATATCTCCCCGGGGTCTTTCTGGCCGCCTCTGGTCCTGGTTGGCTGGCACTTGTGCCAGGTTCGGTCTGGTGCTATCGAGCAATAAGCCGTCCCTGCACAGGGTGGTGGTGGGGGCTTGGCTTGCCACTGTGGGGTCTGGGGGGGGGAGGTGCTGCAGCAGGGGCAAGGAGGGGGGCAAGGAGAGACGACAAGGGGCAAAAGCAGAAGCAGCCTAGCAGTGGTAGGGCAGGGATCGTCGCCTGATGCTCGCCACTTCGAAGGCCGCGGGAGGGACCCGGGGCGGCGCAGTGGATTGTGCGGCGTTGCGCTGTGGGAGGCCTTGTGTGCGTGCGCGTGTGCCCAGAACACTGAGAGGAGCCTGCAGGTGGCACTGGGTCTGACGCGAGGCGTGTGGCTTGCTGCCCAGGCCCAGGGGTGCCACCAGCACGTGTGCAGCCCCCTCGCAGAAAGCGTGCGGTGCTTCCAGGGGCCCCATGGCTGAGGGGACCCTGGACACGCAACCGGAGGAACGAGCCTCCGGAAAACACGGCACCTCCAGCAATCGCAGTGCTTAGGAAAAATGGCTCTCGGTGTTGCGCAACAGCTCGGCTGCTCCTTGCAGAATTGCTGGCGCCCTCCCCCAGTGGCCCCGCCAAGCCCTCCGTCACCTGGAAGGGCCTTACAGGGCTTGCTGAAAAGCTTGAGGCTCCAAGGGAAAAAGGAGCGTGAGGAAATGGGAACCTTCCCTGCAGCTGCCTTCCCGCCTGTCCCTTTGTATTCATGTGACGGATTTTGCTCATTGTGGAAGGGAGCTGCCTTGGACGGGCCTTGCCAAGGAGCGCTGCAAATATTTTATACTTGCTCTATAGATACATACACGGATGTGCAATAAATACGTCAACATGTCCTTGCACTGTGTCGCGTGTCTTTTTCCTCCTGTGACTGTCAGACTCGTGTAACTTCAGTTACCAAAACAAAGGGGACGCCAGGAGATTCTGCTCAGGGATTTTTATATCATGGCCAATTGGACTGCCAAACTTTGGAATGAAGGGCAGATCAGGTAATTCTGGCTGGAAAAAAATCGTTGCCTACAAGCTCACATTACCCGCTACCTGTCAGCTAATCCATCCGCCTCCTCTTGTGTACACTGAATGCAGAAGGAAGGGAAGGGCAGCCCCTCCAGGACCGGGGGGGGGGGGCAGAGGGGCCCCAGGCAGCCCTGCCCGCTCTTCCCAGTGGTCCGAGGTGAGTCCTGCGAGCATCTCGGGCCAGCCGAGGGGACCGTCGGTTGCCCAGGGCGCATCCTCGCTACCGGGGTCTCCCTGTCCTTGGAGGTGGGCTCACAACCTGGCCAGGTTCCTGTCCTCGGCCTGGTTTAGCTTTACTAATGTACCAGTGACACTGAAGTCAGATTTGGAGGTGTGGAGAGAGTGGCTGGGAATACAATGTTTCTGGAATGGCTCTGCATGGTCTGGGTTTAAGCTGGGCTATTAACACAGTCAAAGAACTGATTCCCGTGTCCCGGCTAAGAATGGCACAGGAGAGACATTTGGGGGTGGGTGTGCCATGGCTGGCCCCCTGCCCCGCTCTCTGGCGAGGCCACGCGGGACCTGGGGGGCTAGCTTCCAGCAGAAGCGGCATGGGGGCAAGGACGACTGCTGCTCTGCCATGTTTTTGGAAGACGTGGGAGCCCCCCGCCCCCGGGCCCAGGCAGGGATAATGTCCTTTGATCAGCACAGAAGGGGACACGGGAATCCAGGGCAGCGCTTTGGTGCAGGCGTGTGAGGCAGAGCGCGGACATGGGCCGCTGCCAGCAGACCCAGGAAGGGGAAGCCCTGGGGGCGTGTGCCGGGCAGCAGGGGAGGAAGGCGCCCTTTCACTTTTCGGAGTCGGGAACACTTGGAACCATCTCCCTCCTGTTGCAGCACTTGGGAAGAAAGGACTCATGCCCTCACCAGCATGGCTGCAACCCCCCTCCCCACAATGGGGGGGGGGTTTGGGGCCGGGGGCTCTGGGTCCAAAGGGTTGCCTTTGCCACATGCCGGCAGGCCTTTCGGCCTCTCCCAGCACCCGCCATATGGCGGCGGAGAGGCCAGGGCTGCTGGTGGAGGGGCGAGAGGCCAGACCGCCCCTTCAGTTGTAGACTGTCTCGGGACCTGAGGGAACAGGGCCCCCGGCTCCCAACACCCTCCGGGGGATCGCAGGACTGCACGCCCCAGAAGGATGTTCCCCCGAGTGTAACCGGGGTGCTGCCAGCAGGGCCTGCGCCTGACGCTCTGCAACGTCGGGCACGGCATGCAGTCCTCTTCCCGTCCAGAACGCTTCAGGCACCATGCAGAGCAGCGAGGACGGAGCCCCCGCAGGCATCCTGGGCAGCCCTGCAGGAGGAAGGCAACCGGCTGGGCTTCTGCTGGCTCCAGCTCGCCCTGGGGCTGCCGCTGTCCCTGCCCCGCACACACGGAACCGGGCACGTCGCAGGCCTCGCAGGCCTCTTTGCCCTCGCTGGCGTTTCCGGTTCATCGTGTCACAAGCCATCCCAAAATGTATTCAGTGGGAGTTGTTTCCATGTGATTACAGAAGATACTCAGCACTGGGGTGGTACGAGAGCTTCTATTGTGGCACAACAGCAAGCAACAACAATTGTGCTGTTTGTGACGTCCAGAAAAGGAGGAAGTGGGGGTGGGGAAGCTCCGCTGGCCAGAGAGGGCCTGCAGCCGCCGTGGGCAGAGGACACGAGCTGCCAAGCTGGCCGGGCCATGGAGATCCGTGGGAAGATGGGGGGGGGGGGTCCCGACCGTTGGGAGCCTTGCCTGGGAACGGGCATGCTCGCCCTGGCCATGAGCCCCGGAGCAGAGCGTGGGAAGGTGCTCCTTGGGCCACGAGCCCCCAGCCCCCTCGAGCAGTGCAGGGCTCGGGCTGAGGCACCCCGACAGGTGCAGCCCCCATGGAGGAAGCCATTTCGGGTTCAGTGGGGAGTCAGCCCCACTGAACGGCTGAGCCCACCTCCCGGGCCAGCCCCGTGGGAGCCGCCGAGGCCCTCGACTCTGCCGGGTCTCACGGCCGCCTGGCAATAATCCAGGGCTGGCGCGGCAGCGGGGCTGTGCAGGCGCCCGCTCCCCAGCTGGCAGGGCCGCGGCCGCCGCTTGGATCGCTGCCCAGCCCTCACGCCCGGCCCGGCCGAGCGGCCACGAAGCCCGGGCGCCTCGCACGTGCCTCGCCGGCGCAGGGGCGGCTGCGCCCGGGCCCGCGGGGAGCAGCAGATCCCGCGCCCCGCAGCAACCGGGAAGCAGCGCGACGGGCGGGCCGCTGTCCTCAGGCGGGAGCCGCGCCGCGATCCCGCCCAACCGCTCGCGCCTCGCCGGCGCGGCGCCCCCGGGGGACAGGCCCGGCGGTCCGGGAACCGCGCCCCCGGGCCGTCAGCTGACCGGCGGGAAGCCTCG